TTCTTTCGAATGCAAAGAACAAATCATCTACAATCACATAACAATTGGCCAAATAATTATGGAAGCATTCAAATCATATAAATCAAACATTTGTCCAATCGAAACTATTGTTGAATTAATGAAATAATGGAAATTTAAATCATCAAAAGGTTCATCAAATTCCTAATGAACAAAAGCCCTAGCCTATAATCATCATTACAAAATCAAGAAATTGAAAAACGAAATTAAAAGATAATAAGAATACACCCGTATGGAATTTCTTCAATCCGTGTGTATAATCTTCAATCCCGTCTCGAACCCGTGCGAAATTGAATCCAAAATCAAGTTTCTTGCCTCCAATTTTGGTCTCTCTCTTCTCCCTGGTCGTTCTTCTTGTTAATATGATGAATTTTGGTATTTATATCGCGTCCAAATTAAGTAGGAAAGGAGTTTCAACCAAAACGAAAAACTACGCCCGAAGTTTCAAAACATAACTATGCGACCGCATAGAAGGAATCTATGCGGTCGCATAGATCATTTATTTTTACCATTGGATTCCCTGAAACCTTCTATGCGACCGCATAGAAGGTTACACTATGCGGTCGCATAGAAGTAGCCATCTATGTGGTTTGTGCAATTTGGTCCCTGAACTTCTTTGTTGCTTCTCTTGACTTCTTTCTTCGATTTCTTCATCTTTTCAACAATTCTTATCTTCCAATTGATGATCGACACTTTCAATTATTATGCCACTCATTCGGCACATCTTTTGAGTATTTGCACTTTAGTCCTCCAACTTTCAATTATCTTCATTTTAGTCCATCTTCCATTCTTTCTTCCTCCACTTGTTTTGCTTTGTCATTGAGCTCATACTCGGCATGTTTTTACTCTCGTTCTGCATTTAGCTCAACTTCTCAATAATTGCACTGTTGGTCCTCGAACTATCAAATTGTTGCGTTTTGGTCCTTCTTCAGCTCTTTTCTCCTGAATTCCACAATTTCCATTGGATTGCCTACAATGCATGAATTTAACTGGATTAAGTCACAATTCAACCATTTTATCCATGTTTAAGTCATGTTTGTGAACCAAATAAGTGTGTAAAAACACACTTATCACTGATCTTTCCCTTTTCGATGCAGGTACAGATTTGAGGACGAATCCTTTGGAAGAGGAAGGGGATGATGTGATCTAAGAGCCGAGCCAAACGAAGGTGAGTGCGAGAAGAGACCCGTTGATAATCGAAGACGGACCAAGGACGCGATCGAGGGCAAAGCAAGTGAAATAAGTGATGGGATTACTTGTTCAAGAAACCATTGATGGGACAATGTTCGGGACTCAAAATAGGACAAGTTTCATGTTCGGGTCGAAAGCCAAAGTGAAATGGATCAACGCGTCACAAGCGGCTGAAGAAGAGGCTGAAGCGCAAAACCATATGGCCGCACCCCTTTAATGGCTTGCGGTTGTACATCCATAGTCAGGGAATTCGCTAGGGATTTCTGGGTCTACCATGAGACCGCATGATTATAAAATTTGACGCGTTTTTAATTTTTCCGCGAATTTCCTTATTTTGTTAGAATTTAATATCAATTAGACTTTTTTTTCCCATATTTTGATGATTTTGCACGATTTTAGCTAGGTTTTTTAGCTTTAGTATAAATACTCTTTCTATTACAATTTGTAGGAACTTTTGGCATTTATTATTGAATTCAAGATAGGCTTTTGCTTTCTTCCAATTTGTTCTTCTTGAACAATAATCTAGAACTTATCAAGGATAATTCCTTGTGGCGTTTAACACCGGATCGTGGGTTCTTCAATTTGTAAGCAAAGGGTCCATTGCATCACCGTTATCTTCGGGTTCCTTGTTTCATCTTGTTAGGTTCATTCCAAACTAGCTATCAATTGACGTTCTTGGGTTCCGCATCAATCTAGTTGTGGGTTTCGTAGTCTAAGTTGCTACCGGGTTCACATCAAAATGACTTGCTTTCATTCAAGAATTGAAAGGGATGAATCCATATTGATACGTTCAGATTCGATAAGTTATCATTTCGCTTCTCAGATCCATTTTAGTAAGTCGAAATTATGTTTCGTTTTCATGCAAATAAACGATATGATTTTTGTGAATATAATATGCACAATTAGTGGTATAATTTCTCCAATATTTTTTTCAACATCTTGCATAGAAAATCAACTTCATCATTAGTTGTCTTTTCTTGATTTGGTCATGCATCTGTGATGCTTTCTTCTGTTGAGCTCGGTGCCTGATATATCTCGTTCAAAGTAATATAGTGGTCAGCATTTTTATTGTTTTGCTCCCCATTTATTGCAACATCTCTGCTAAAATTGGGAAAATAACCTGCACCTATATCATTAGTGTTGTCAAATACAGAAGATAATGGCTTTTCCTTACTGGATTTGATTAAACTCTACCTTCTTCGTTTGCATCAGTTTTGCCATTGTCTTCCTTTTCCTTTTTTATCCACTCATCTAAGATAGGAACACTGACAATTCTAGCAGATGAGGACTAGGAGTTATAGTAGTAGGCCAAAAAGGAAAATATTCCTCATTAGAGACAACATGCCATAAAATATAAACTCGCTTTATTATTAGCTCTAAACATTGATAGCCCTTATGGATTGGATTGTTCCCAAGAAAGACACATGGATAAGTTTTCTTTATGAACTTTGAACTACCTTAATGCCAAAGGCATGGAAAATATTGACATCCAAACAATCGCAAGCCGTTGTAGTCAGGATATCTCTTGTAAAGTCCATAAAGTGGCTTTAATTCTATAACACTGAAGATGGGAAATGATTAATTAAATAGACAGCGGCAAAAAGGCTTCAACCATGCATGATAAAGTCCTATTTGCATAAAAGAGCATTGTTAACCCTGTTTCGACAAGACTTCGCAAAGCTTTCATTCTGCAACTTTTTGTTCTTGAGTTCATAGACAAGAAGCATGTAGCTCAATTCCACCGTTAGCAATATCTATTATTGTAAGGATTTACATGAACATAATGAATGTGATAGTTTTAAGCTAAGAAGTATGAGTGATTGTGGTTGGAAGAAGATAAGCAGGAAAGCCATTGGTTATATTAGGTAGTGGGTTGATTTCAATGTATTCCATCATATATCGCGAGAGACAGATGCCTATGGCCTTAGGGAGAAACTAGAAGGTCTCTATGAGAGGAAGATTGCTCAAAATAAAGTATTTTGTTATTAGAAAGCTTGTGAACATGAAGTTAGAGGAAGAATCAATTGCTAAGTGTTTGAGTGAATTTCAAGACTTTGTAAATTAGTTGACCACAATGAAAATAGTGGTAGGTGATGAGATGCAATCACTGTTACTCTTGAGTTCATTGCCAGATAGTTGGGAGACTTTGATGGTATCACTTAGTAACTCTACTACGAATGATATGCTTGGATTTACTCTAGTTAAAAGAAGTTTGTTTAATGATAAAATAAGAAGGAAAGGCTTGGGTAAGAGTGATGCACAAGCTCTTAGTATAGAGAATAGAGGAAGGCGTAAAAGCAAAGGTCTTGAAGGATGTGGTAACTTTAGAATTTAGTCAAAGGCAAGAGAAAAGATCAAATGTTTTTATTGTGATAAAAAGGGTCATATAAATAAACATTGCATAGCTTGAAAAAAACAAATTGAAAGAGGAGAAAGATTAGAAAAAGGCTGATCAAAATACAACAGTTAGCGCTTCAGATGAGGAAGTAGTGGTAGCAATTTTTTCTACTGAAGATGAACATTGTTGTTATGTTATAGATTTGTTCATTGAATAGGTTATTGACTCAATGGCTTCTTACCATGTTATTCCAAGATGGGAGTTCTTCACTTCATACAAATTGGGTAACTTCGGTAAGGTGAAGATGGGTAATAACGATTTTACTAGCATTGTGGGAATTGGTGATATTTTTCTTCAGACTAATATTGGATGCAGCCTAACATTGAAGAATATGCGACATATTCCAGACATACGAATTAATTTGCTATTTGACACATAAGCTTATGAATTGAATGTAGGCCTTGTATTTATCTTAGTAAAGTCTAGAAATTTACAACACCGCAAAATTAAGTAAATCCAAAGTACCAAATTGAGAGAAAAAAATCTCATATTTCTCGTTCTGCTCGGCATATCAATTTTATGTTCTAATGTTCACAGTGGGATTATTATTAGAGACTGAATAATTAGACAGTTATGATATATCGAAATATAAAGAAAGTAGATTTAATACTAATCTAGAGAATTCAGATTTGTTGATTTTGTTTCTAACACGTAAATTGTCTATTTCCAATCATGTAACGACATCATTAAAATCTGGTGTAGAGAATAAAAATATTAATACCACTATGCATGTAGTACTTAATTACCAACTACTTAATTGTATCGACAAACGAGATAGATCTCTAGTTGCAACTGAACAAAGATGGTGGGTTGTCAATTAAATAACAATAGCGGAAAATTTTCATAGTTTGCTTTCATGTCGATTGACATTTAAGGTAGCAACGATTGACGCATTTCAAAAGTTGAGTCATGGCACAACATTTTTGTTGATTTGGATAAGAAATACGGAAATGTCGTCCCGAAAAGGTTGATATTTTTCTTGTCATCTTTTATTTAATATAATATATTTTTCAACAAAAGGAAGTGATAATGGTTAAAATATTCAAGTATTATTTAATTAATAAAAAAGGGAGTATTCAAAATCCGCAATTTAATACAAAAAATAAATAAATAAAATAAAGAATGAGCGTGTCAAAATGAAAGTTATAAAAAAGAATGTGTTAGAAACTGTATTTTAAGCTACCACTCTTTAAAATAAAGAATATTTTGCCTTCAAAGAGCCTCTAATAAATTGACATAGTACCCCCATTCACAACATCTTCCTTTGAATCAAAAAAGCTGATGTATATGAAAATAACTTCTTTTATCCTGACGCAAAACCAGATACAAGATTAACATAGGAAAGCAAGTCAGCAAGCGGCTATGGATTCGACTCATAGAACATTATTTGGTATATATAAATAAGCAAATAACTGTTTAAGATTTGTGAGCATCATCAAAGGAATAACATCCAGCTAAAATTAAATAAAAATGAGAGATTCGTTGCAGAACTGTGGAAATCATGTTTTGCATACACGTGGCTACAGCAAGAGACTTCGAAAACCTAGTTGCAACTGAACAAAGATGGTGGGTTGTCAATTAAATAACAATAGCGGAAAATTTTCATAGTTTGCTTTCATGTCGATTGACATTTAAGGTAGCAACGATTGACGCATTTCAAAAGTTGAGTCATGGCACAACATTTTTGTTGATTTGGATAAGAAATACGGAAATGTCGTCCCGAAAAGGTTGATATTTTTCTTGTCATCTTTTATTTAATATAATATATTTTTCAACAAAAGGAAGTGATAATGGTTAAAATATTCAAGTATTATTTAATTAATAAAAAAGGGAGTATTCAAAATCCGCAATTTAATACAAAAAATAAATAAATAAAATAAAGAATGAGCGTGTCAAAATGAAAGTTATAAAAAAGAATGTGTTAGAAACTGTATTTTAAGCTACCACTCTTTAAAATAAAGAATATTTTGCCTTCAAAGAGCCTCTAATAAATTGACATAGTACCCCCATTCACAACATCTTCCTTTGAATCAAAAAAGCTGATGTATATGAAAATAACTTCTTTTATCCTGACGCAAAACCAGATACAAGATTAACATAGGAAAGCAAGTCAGCAAGCGGCTATGGATTCGACTCATAGAACATTATTTGGTATATATAAATAAGCAAATAACTGTTTAAGATTTGTGAGCATCATCAAAGGAATAACATCCAGCTAAAATTAAATAAAAATGAGAGATTCGTTGCAGAACTGTGGAAATCATGTTTTGCATACACGTGGCTACAGCAAGAGACTTCGAAAACCAAAAAAAAAAAAAAAAACAATCTGTTGTTTCTTCGAACCCTGTTTTCTCTTCAAACAGCACGGCACCTGTCCAAGTCAATATTTACAAGGAGGACAAGCAGCAAATATCTACAGTCGTATTGAACCTTCGGACAGGGTTAGCCAATTGTTTGATTAATAACCTCCATCTTAATGAACCTTGCCTGCTTTATTAGATGAAGAACCACGCTTTGTAAGCTTGTTCAATATGCATGCCATGGCAACCTTAGCACCCAAACTGGAATGACCTCTAGACAAGCATAATACGCCCCCGACAACAATCAAGCCATTTCTTATCAACTTATTGGAAGGCATTCTCGAGAGTCTCTTCGCATTGGATTCAAGAGTCCCCGAGGAGCTAATGGCACGCGCCAAGTCTTCTGGATGAACTGTGCTTGTTAACCCATCTAGGATTTCAAATTCAGGTGGGACCTATGTGAAAAATAGAAGAATAATCATTTACATATAGAATAGCAAGCTCTATATTTCCAACAATCACCTGGAAGAGAGGGGGCAGTAAAAAAGGCAAAGAAACAAAAGAATGTAACCGAGATTTATACAAATATTAACTACATCTTCTATGACCCAAGGAATTCACAGATGCCAAAGGAGATTGCCACAATGACAAAGAACTCAAAATAATTTCTGAAAAACTTAGCTATCTCTTCTGTGGTGCCCTGTTGTATATATATATGTACAATCTTTTAATGTACAAGGAAACTAAATAAATTACAATATCCAAAAATAGCACATCTAATCTACTCCAAATTTATCTCAATTATATACGGTAATACCCCCCTCAAATTGATGAGGGGAAGTCAACCAGCAACAATTTGTCAACAAGGAATCGATGTCGCTGTCGAGTTATTGATTTGGTAAAGACATCCGGCACTTGAAGATCAAAAGAAATGTAGGGAAGTGAGATCAACCGATCCTCCAAAGTATCACAAATAAAGTGACAATCAACCTCAATGTGCTTGCTGCGTTCATGGAAGACAAAATTGTTTGCAATCTGAATAGTACTAGTATTGTCCGTATGAAGAGTAGCAGTTTGAAAAAACCCAATCTCTTTGAGTAGACCACGTGACCAAATAACTTCAGAACAAGCCGTAGACATGGCACGATATTCAGCTTCAGTAGATGATTTAGAAATACGATTTTTCTTCTTACATTTCTAAGAGATCAATGCATCGCCCAAAAATATACACCAACCCGTAGCCGAGCGATGCATATCTGGACACAGCCCAATTAGCATCACTGTAGGAAGAAAGTTAGAAAGACCCTCTAGGAAAGAACAACCCACGAGTAGGCAATCCACGAAGATAAAGAACAATGCGGCGAACAACAGTAAGCCGGAGATGACGAGGACTAGACAAAAACTGGCTGATCTGATGAACGGAATAGGAGATATTTGGGCAACTGGTAGTCAAATAGATAAGACTACTAGGCTGCGATATAGAGTAGGATCGTCAAGAAGATCCTTTCATCTTTCCTGTACTTTACATTTACTTCCATAGGAGTGTCTACAGAAGAAGAGTCTTCCAACCTAGCTAACGCAATAAGATCCTGAACATACTTATGCTGGTTTAAGAAAATACCATTGGCCCGATGATGAACTTCTAATCCCAAAAAGTAAGTAAGCTGGCCGAGATATTTCATATGGAAAGTAGCATGCAAAAACTGTTGAAACTTCATAATTAAACTACAATCAGTGCCTGTAATGATGTTATCCACAAACCAATAGAATCACAATACCCATTGTAGACATGTGGAAGAAAAGAGAAGAATCATACTGACTCTGTGTAAAATTGAAGTTAATGAGTGTACTACGAAAGTTCTCAAACCACACCCGAGGAGCCTGCTTGAGCCCATATAGAGAATGACGTAGTCTATAGACATCATGAGATGAAGAGGTGGGCATACTAGCGGGAATTTTCATATAAATCTCCTCGTGAAGATCACCATGAAGAAAGGCGTTTTTCACATCCATCTGATGTAGGATCCACGGTTGTGAGGCAGCAATAGCTAAGATTGCCCAAACTGTAATCATTTTGACAATAGAAACAAATCTTTTCTCATAGTCGACCCCATATTTCTGTTTCTTATCCAGAGCTAGAAGACGAGCTTTGTATCGATCCAAAGAGCCGTCAGAACAAAGTTTCACAGAAAAAATCCACTTACTCCCAATAGGTTTCACATTAGGGAGACAAGACACAACGTCCCAAGTGTGGTTCTCCTCAAGTGCCTAAAATTCTGCTTTCATTACATTTTGCCAACACATGTTCCATGGCCTGTTTTGTAGCAAAAGGGAATGGAAATATGAAGTGACGTCAACCCCTACTTCTCTTTCCATGTGGGGCTCTCTTTGATGACTGGAATGGCCCCGGCTACGAGACGCAGGAAGCATCCACTGAGCCGGTGGGCCCTCCGCGGCATTTGGAAGCCCTACTGGCCTTGAGCTTGCACGAAGAACTGATACATGGCTGCATTTTGAACTGCGATGTCCCTCATACCCACAGCTATTTGGGCCATTCCTGCTGAGAGCCTTGATGTCGTCTCACCGCATTGGCGAACGCCGACGGTGAGGTCTGCGGTGGGTCACATTTCAGAGGGGTCCCTTGCCTTGGATTTTCATCATCATTGCTGGAACTCATTTCACTCCTTTTTCAAGGGTATTTAAAACTGGATTGCTAATTTTGACTAAGGTTCTTTTTCAAGAATGCCCCTTTTTCAAAGGGAAACTCACTAATTTTCCAATGGCTTTTCCGATGGTAAATAGGGAACTCTAGAACGCAAGTTTCTCACAGACGTCGCCAATCTATTGACTTCGCGAATAAGACCTTCCACGTGGCCAACCGAGAACCACTCCACGCTTTCCTCCTTGCACACAAGAGAAAACAGTCAGATGCACACGACCAATACCAGTGGGTGTGGTGGCGGCCGCATACACTCCGATGATCAAGTCAATGGACGGTGATAAGGGTGGTGCTGGAACAGTGCAAGAGAGTAGGGAGGAGATAATATATATTGCTTGGTGGTGGAGTGCTTGGGTTAAAAAAGATTACCATCGTCTCTTGCCAAACCTTTGGTTTTTATAGGTGAAGGGCACCGTGGGATACGTGACACGTGTATGCATCTGACGGTGTGAGGCACCTGCTCGTAGACATCAATTAGCCGCATCCTGGGGGTGGATAGTTAATTCTTCTGATATGTGAGTTGACATAAGGCTGAAATGTCAAATCAATTTATAAAGATAAGGGGATCCTAACACAAAGATACATCTCTGGAATTGGCAACGGAGGGATCTCTGCCATATGGCGCCTCATCTCCTCACACTTCGGTATCAAGAGCACCTCGGATGATATTATTTTGGTAGCGTCTGTGCCTCGCGGCATGTTGACTTGAGGTTTAGCTTAGGCGTATATCACTTTGATGATGCCTCGTCTGGACACGTGGCACCTCCCTGGGAAGTGGGCTTGGTAGTTCCAAGGCGGTTAGCGAGGGGCACAAGAGAGTGAGGGTGGTAGAGTGCTTGGGTTAAAAAAGATTACCTTCTCTTGCCAAACCTTTGGTATTTATAGGTGAAGGGCATCGTGGGATATGTGGCATGTGTATGCATCTAACAGTGTGAGGCTCTACTCGTAGGTGTCAATCAGTCGCATCCTAGGGGGCGGGTAGTTAATTCTTCTGATATGTGAGTTGACATAAGGCTAAAATGTCACATCAATCAATCCATAAAGATAAGGGGATCCTGACACAGATACATATTTGAAACTGGCGACCGAGGAGCCTCTGCCGTATGGCGCCTCATCTCCTCACAATTCGTAGGCGTCAATCAGCCGCATCCTAGGGGACGTGTAGTTAATTCTTTTGATATGTGAGTTGACATAAGGCTAAAATGTCACATCAATCAATCCATAAAGATAAGAGGATCTTGACGCATAGATACATCTCTAAAACTGGCAACGAAGGGGCCTCTGCTATATGGTGCCTCGTTTCCTCATACTTCGATATTTTGGTAGCGTTTGTGCCTCACAGCATGTTGACTTGAGGTTCGACTAAGGCGTATAACACTTCGATGATGCCTCGTCTGGACACGTAGCGCCTTGCTGGGGAGTGAGCTTGGCGAGGGGCATAATAGTGATCCCCCCAAGTTCAGGGATGAATATGCATATGATTCCTGGACTTTTTAACTGGCTGTGTATTGTTGTCGCTTTGTGTAGGTTCAACTGTCTCTGCTAAAGCTTGTGAAGCTGAGGGCTGGGGCTCATCTTCGGCCAAGGCTCTAACCTACAGGGGACGACGCTTAGGGGATGGCTTGATGTTTTTTGTAGTTTATTGCAACGTTTCGACCGAGGTGCTGACCCACAGAGGATAGCTCTTCGGGAGGGTTGGAACTGTAAAGCTTTTCGCAACGCTTCGATCGAGGCGCTGATCCACAGGGGATCGTTTCGGGAGGTTTGAAACTTTGTAAACTGAGGAGCACATCAACGATCGAGGCAATGACCCACAGAGGTCTACACCTGGAAGATGCTTGAATCTTTGTAAAGCTTTTGAAACGCTTCGACTAAGGCGCTAACCCGCAGGGGACTACGCGTCAGAAGGGTTGAAACTTTGTAAGCTGAAGAGCGCATCCTCGAACGAGGCGATGACCCATAGGGGACGGTGCCTGGGAGATGCTTGAAGCTTTGTAAAGCTTTCGCAACGCTTCAACTGAGGCACTGACCCACAGGGGACTACGCGTCAGGAGGGTTGAAGCACTATAAAGCTGAGGAGCACATCTTTGACCAAGGCAATAACCCACAGGAGACGACGCCTGAGAGATGCTTGAAACTTCGTAAACTGAGGAGTGCATCTTCTACCGAAGTGTTAACCCACAGGGGACGACTCCTGGGAGATGCTTAAAACTTTGTAAAGCTTTCGCAACGCTTCGACTGAGACGCTGACCCACAGGGAACTACGAGTTAGGAAGGTTGAAACTCTATAAAGTTGAGGAGGTTCTTCACTGAGGCGTGCACTACAGTCTTGAATAATAGGACAGCTGTCGCGTGTTTCCAAGGAGGACAGTTGGATGTGACGCCTATTCCCCAAAAAAGGCTACTGCTACTAATCATAACCTATGGCTATTTGAGGCTCGAGGCGACGCACCCTGGAGGTCCGTGAAAGTCACAACTACATCTTGGTCGTTAATCAAATCTAACGTTTCATTTCAACGATCTAGATTTATGATACGATTAACGGCTCAGATCGATAGCTTTAGAATTCAATGGTTGAGATCGTCCTAAGCCTCTTATAAAAGGCTGATTTGTTGCCATTTGAAGGTTTTCACTTGGCAAAATCTGAAACTTCCTTACTCTCAAGCTTTCTTAACTTTCGACAACCTTTCTGTTTCCTTTGGAGTTTTTTAGCAACTTTTCTGCGTCTCCCAAGTTTTTTGATGACTTTTTTGCACCTATTTGACTTTTTCGACGAGAAAGCCCATTTTCAGTTACCCCTTGCAAGTATTTTCCACATTTTTCGTCTTTTTCATCATACAAAATGGCTTCTGAGGGGAGTGGATCTTCTTGGAGGGATTTGGAGATCGTTAGGATAGATGACCCAACGCTGGCTACTTCGGCCAAGTTGTCCAAGGCGATATTGAGTGAAAACATCTGGAGACGACTAGACAGGCCCTTAGGTTTAATACTGCTGGGCCCAGATGAGCGAACCTGTTACCCAAGGCTGGGGTGCGTGGCGATAAGTGAGGATATTCTTAGGGCAGGTCTTAGATTGCCCATCCACCCCTTCTTCCGTTTCGTTCTTAGGTCTTATAGGTTAGCCCCCACCCAACTGAACCCAAACTCTTGGAGCCAGATAGTGGGATCTTGGATGTTTTGGAAAGAGGCCTCATAACGGGTGGAGATGCCTTTTTGGGTTTTTCAGACCCTGTACATCCTAATGGTGACATTTCTGAAACTGGTGGCGGAGAAGCCTATGCCATATGGCGCCTTGTCTCCTCACACTTCGTAGGCGTCAATCAGCTGCAACCAAGGGGAGCGAGCAATTAATTCTTCTGATATGTGAGTTGGCATAAGGCTGAAATGTCACATCAAGCAATCCATAAAGGTAAGAGGATCCTGACACAAAGATACAACTCTGAAACTGGCGGCGAAGAGGCCTATGCCTTATGGTGCCTTGTCTCCTCACACTTCAGTATTAAGAGCACCTCGGATAATATTATTTTGGTAGCGTTTGTGCCTCGCGGTATGTTGACTTGAGGTTCAGCTGAGGCGTATATCACTTCGGTGATGCCTCGTCTGGACACGTGGCACCTTGCTGGGGAGTGGGCTTGGTAGTCCGAGGCAATCAACGAGGGGCGTAACACCAACTATGGTAAAAAAGCAAATTTCCATCACGCTCTACTCTTTAAAATTTAGTAATCGCTTCTAGGATAGATTTATAATCCAAATAGATCAGAGGAATTTGGCATGTGTTGCCACAATCAAGCCAAGCTTGCAATGTAATTTGACAAAACATGAAAAACTGGTCAGATTGTCTGAAGCATAAAAATGCTTGGCACTTGGAATAGATTGTAAGATACGATGATGATTAATCAACCACTATATCAGTTACAGTTGGAAGCCTGAGATTAAATCACAGTATTAATTTACATATTAATCTTTGTATATTTATTTTTCTCCTTATTGTTTTACTTTGGTCAACAGAACAAATAATCAAATTCAGCATAGGTAGAAACTATATGTATCAGATCTTTAATCTTATGACAAAAACCATCCACATAATACTCCCATTACTATCATGTTCACTTCAAACACCTGGATTAGTGTTATCATGCAAAGAATAGTTCTAACCTTCCGAATTGATGTAATGGCACTCACAGCTGAATTTAGTTGAAGATGATTGGTAGTTGAGTATTCGTGTAGTGCATCGGACATTTTGCACACATAACTCCATATGCCCTTTGCAAAAGCTAGCTTTGCCATTTCCACATTCAGACCAGCGTCTTCTTGGTGCACCATTTTGATCTCACATGCATTTCTACTAGGAACTGCAAAAGGAGACTTTGACAAAACTGGTTTAGAAAGAAAAATCCAAATGGCTGACTTAGCACGTGAGAAAATATCATCTATAAAAAGCCTTCATGACCCAACTTGTTGGTCTTTCCCTCCCTCTCTCTCCTTCTATATGTCTGTCTGTGTGGGTTCATTTTGTTTCGAAATTTCCATAGCATTTTCAACAGGATCTGCCACCTACCCACCCCTCTCCCCCAGCACATAAAAAGAACAACATACTTTACATGATACAAAGTTGTATTTTTTTCCTCAAAGGTTGTAGATAAAGTTAGGCTGGTTAAATATTAATGACATTATAATTAGTTGGAAGCTAAATATATAATAACATATAGGGAAAAATGTAATGGAAGCCCCCCAATCTATTAAATTTGTGCAAACAGGTCACCAACCTATAAAAGAGAAAAGTGAGGAAAATATAGGAAACGAAAAGAAAATACCAACTCAACTTCACCCTCATCCCCTGCTTGCTAGCCCAACCTCACCACCCGACGTTCTCCCACCACACCAGTAAGCAATTTGTACATTAAGGAGGAAAACGATTAATTTTTACCTTTGACATTTTCTTTTTCTTTTCTTTTCTTTTCTTTTTTTCCCTCTAATCAATTGATTTGAGAGTTTGGTCAATTAATGGTGGATGAATTTGTAGGAAAATTGGCCTTAGTATCATAAATAGTCTTTCAACAAAACTTATTTAATTAATAAAAGGTTCTAGTTTTCGTTCAAAAACAATCGATTGCAAAAAAGTGGAATCATACAAACACATAAATAATTTCAATTTTATTAATATAATAATTCTGTTTAATTAACTTTAATTGTAAACTAAATATTGGCATTTTGTTAATATATATTGCCTATTTAATTGAAAAATAAATTCATCTAAAAAAAAGTTCGTGCCTAATTCTAATTCTAGTGGTGTATTTTATTCTTCTAGTTCTAATCCGTATGGATTTTTTGAATATTATTTAATTTTAAGCCAAAATGATTCAACAGCTGGGGGTTTCCATTGACCGGTACCACAAGTTACAAGGTGATAATGGGCACGGGCTTAACTGTCAAAGGGAAAGGCATATGCTGACAGGTGGAAGCCCCCCCCCCCCCCAATCTATTAAATTTGTGCAAACAGGTCACCAACCTATAAAAGAGAAAAGTGAGGAAAATATAGGAAACGAAAAGAAAATACCAACTCAACTTCACCCTCATCCCCTGCTTGCTAGCCCAACCTCACCACCCGACGTTCTCCCACCACACCAGTAAGCAATTTGTACATTAAGGAGGAAAACGATTAATTTTTACCTTTGACATTTTCTTTTTCTTTTCTTTTCTTTTCTTTTTTTCCCTCTAATCAATTGATTTGAGAGTTTGGTCAATTAATGGTGGATGAATTTGTAGGAAAATTGGCCTTAGTATCATAAATAGTCTTTCAACAAAACTTATTTAATTAATAAAAGGTTCTAGTTTTCGTTCAAAAACAATCGATTGCAAAAAAGTGGAATCATACAAACACATAAATAATTTCAATTTTATTAATATAATAATTCTGTTTAATTAACTTTAATTGTAAACTAAATATTGGCATTTTGTTAATATATATTGCCTATTTAATTGAAAAATAAATTCATCTAAAAAAAAGTTCGTGCCTAATTCTAATTCTAGTGGTGTATTTTATTCTTCTAGTTCTAATCCGTATGGATTTTTTGAATATTATTTAATTTTAAGCCAAAATGATTCAACAGCTGGGGGTTTCCATTGACCGGTACCACAAGTTACAAGGTGATAATGGGCACGGGCTTAACTGTCAAAGGGAAAGGCATATGCTGACAGGTATCCTTAAAACTGCCAGGGCTGCTAGTAGAAGAAGATTTCTTACCATTGGAGTTGGGTAGCTCCGATGTTATCCTTGGAATGTAGCGGCTACAGAAGTTAAGTAAAATGCAGGTGGATTGGAACACATTAACAATGTCTTTTGATGTGGCGAGGACAAATGTAACTCTACAGAGGAAACCCAACCTCAGTAAAACCCCTATTTCATTGAAATCGATGTGGAAGGCCTTTAAGGAACAAGGAGAAGGGCTCATATTAGAATTAGGAACTATCACTATCGACTCAAAATTCTCCCCACCGTAGCCATCAACAATCATTATAGATGTTCTAGAAAAATTCCAACCAGTCTTCAAGGACATCACTCAGCTACCTCCTAAGAGGAGTCAGGATCATACGTTCATCTTGAAATTAAGGGCCGCATCGGTGAGTGTGAAACTATATCAATACCCGCACTTCCCAAAGAATGAAATTGAACAGTCAGTACAAGAGTTGATTGCGGCAGGAATTATACAACAAAGTACGAGCCCGTTTTCAAGCCATGTGCTTCTAGTCAGGAAGAAAGATGGGGTTAGATGTTTTATGTAGATTATTAAGCATTAAACAAGGTCATCGTTTCCGACAAATTTCCCATTCCAGACCTTGATGAGCTACTTGACGAGTTGAACGAGGCTACTGTATTTTAAAAAATTGACCTTTAAGTCTAGATACCATCGAATTCAAGTAAGGGCCAAGGATGTTCCGAAAACTTCTTTCCAAACCCATTAAGGCCATTATAGTTTCTCATCGTGCCCTTCCGATTGACAAATGCACTAGCCACTTTCCGGTCCTCGATAATTCTATCTTCAAAGATTTGCTCAGGAAATGCATGCTGGTTTTCCACGACGAAATCATAGTCTATAGTTGTACAGAGGTGGAGCATTGAGATCATTTACGAAAGGTCCTGCAAATTCTAGTGGAAAATCATCTTTATGCAAACAAAAAGAAGTCTTCATTACAGTAAACAAAGATAGAATATCTAGTCCATATAATAACCAAGAAAAAGGTGACTATGGACGAATCTAAAGTGGCTGCAATGAAAGACTGGCCTTGGCCAAAATCATTGAAGGAATTGAGGAGCTTCCTTGGTATGACAGGATATTACAGACGCTTTGTGGAATCCTATGGAAGATAACATGGCCATTAACTTAACAGTTGAAGGAAGATAGTTTTGGATGGAATGAAGTGATAGAAGCATCTTTCACGCAATAAAAGCAAGCAATGATGACAGTACCGATGTTGGCTCTTCCAAAATTTTCACAGCCTTTTGTGATTGAGACTGATGAATCAAGATAGGAATTGGTGGTTGTCCTAATGCAAATTTGGAGGCCCATTGCATATTTCAGTCAGGTCCTTCCATCGAGAAGCTAGAATAAGTCAATATTTGAAAGGGAACTCATGGCAATTGTGTTGGCTATGTAAAAGTCGAGGCATTATTTGTTGGGAGACGGTTTGTAGTCAGGACAGACGAGAAGAGCCTTAAATTTCTTCTCGAACAATGCTTGGTAAACATGGAATATCAAAATTAGCTTACGAAATTATTGGGTTTTGACCTGGTTATTGAGTAAAAGCTCGGGATGGATTATGAGGAAGCAAACGCACTATCAAGGAAAGGAGCAGCCATGACTTTGATGGCTCTTAGCATTTTATGCAACCGGCAGCTAGATGAAGTGACAAAGGCAGAAGGAGATCATGATCTGGGCCGCATTATGTTTGCCTTAAGAGCTGATCCATCTTCTTGTCAAGTTATGCTCTCATTCAAAGGGTTTTGTTATATAAAGATTGGATCACTTTACTCAAGGAATCACGACTTATCTTGTTGGCACTACAAGCTAGGCATGACAGTAAAGTGGGAGTTCAAGGAGGATTCCTTGAAACTTACAAAAGAATGGTAACAACCTTTAATTGGATTGGGATGAAAAATGATTTAAGGGCATATGTGGCCATGTGCAAGTTTTGCAAACAGCATAAGTACTCCACATTAGCACTTGTCGGGTTTGATACAACCACTCCCTATACTTGAGAAGGTATGGGAGGACGTCTCCATAGATTTCATAGAAGGGTAATTAAAGTCGGAGGGGTTCGATTCAATTATGGTGGTGGTTGACCATTTGAGCAAGTATGCACACTTCATTGGTCTTAAACACACCTTCACGACACCATCTGTAGTAGCAGTTGGGTTGATACAACCACTCCCTATACCCAAGAAGGTGTGGGGGGACGTGTCCATAGATTTCATAGAAGGATAATCAAAGTCAGAGGGGTTCGATTCAATTTTGGTGGTGGTTGACCATTTGAGTAAGTACGCATACTTCATTGGTCTTAAATACCCCTTCACGGCACCATCTGTAGTAGCAATTAATGAAAGTAGTTGTTCGGCTACACGGGATTCCTCATTCGATCATTTTAGATAGGGATAAGGTGTTTTTGAACAAATTTTGGGGTGAGCTGCTTCACCTACAGGGAACTAAACTAAGGTATAGTTCAACCTATCGCCCCCAAAATGACGAGCAAACAAAAGTGGCAAACAGAAGAGTAAAGATCCATTTGCATTGTTTTGCTTTAGTTCAACCAAAGGAATGATATTGCTACCTACCTCGAGCTTTATATTCGTACACCTCCTCCTTTCAAGTGGCTGCACAACGTACCTCTTTTCATATAGTATATGGATAAAACCCTCCATCCCTACTGCGTTTTGAAAAAGGGGCAACTGTTGTATCCTCTTTAGACCAACAGCTGGTAGAAATGGATAAAATTCTAGATAAGCTTAAGATACATTTACATCGTGCCCAGCAACAAATGAAGACCACGACCAACAAACATAGGAAGGTTATTGAATTTTCAGCCACAAATAGTGTCTTTGAAAATGTGCCCCTATTACCACAATTCTTTGGCACACAATATAATGAAAAGCTTGCTCCCCACTACTATGGGCCCTTTAAAGTTTTGGCTAAGGTGGGGAATGTTGCTTATCATTTGGAGCTGCCATATGAGACAAATTCATCCAGTCTTTCATGTTTCACAATTACGAAGAGCTGTAGGGGAACACTGACCTCTCCTTTACCTCTCAATCTTGGGGTTGACTGGAAATTACAAGTTGAACCAAAAGCTGTAATGGGAGAAAAGGCTACTGCATTGGGAACATCAAAAGGCTTGGAGGTGTCGATTCAATGGAAATGATTCTCTCCTTTAGAAGCTACCTTGGAACCTTTCAGTCTCATTACTCAACAATTTCCTACTTTTCACCTGGAGGACAAGGTGATTGAATTGGGGGGTAATTGGTAAGCTCTTAATTGAATATACTTATTCTAGAAGAATCAAGAAGAGTGGAGAAGAGGGAGGCAATAATGAATTATGTAGAGGGGTATGATAAGGTATGCAAAATTAGTTATAAGTATCCTATAAATAAAAAAGGGTTAGGGGAGGACAGGAGGCATATTTTTAGTGAGAGTATTAAATGTGTGGAGAGCTACAGCCCTCTAAAGCGACTGCCTATCTTTCTGTTCTATTTCTGTAATTTACGTTTCAATCAATACAAATTATAATCTCAATCCTTTCTTGTGTTCTTTTGATTCATTTCAGATCGTAATTGTCAATATCTTTGGGTGGAACCTATTAGTCGACTAAACATACCATTATTCCATGATAGCAATCTAGATTGGTGGATATGGAAAGCACAGAAGATTTTCACAAGGAATCGATTGTCCGAGAGGGAAAAGGTGGGAAGCCATTATGGCATGTTTGGACGATGAAGCTTAAGAGTGGTTTCAAAGGCTAGATCATCGTCGACCCATGCAAACTTTGGGAGAATTGAAAGAGGGGATGATAGTCAAATTTCGGCTGTCCATAGGAGAGCACTCACCGGAGCATACCTTTAGTTCCTAAATTCCAATCAAGTCTTACGAGGAAAGCGTGAGTATTGAAGGTAAAAAGGGCATAGAATAGACTAGGCACATGGACAATCGAGATCGAAAGTTGTTCGAAAGCCCGGCAAAAATCAGTACTTCTGTCGGTAGCAAAGAACAGGTGTTTCCATGGCAATCGTCGAAGGAGAAGTATGAGCGTCGAATTGTAAAACTTCCATTGCAGTTGACAAATGGTATTAGAGACGGATCAGAACAATCTTGGAAAGGAAATTTCATCAACGAACTAAATCGTACCATTAGGGCTAAAGACCAATTGCTGTCATCAGTAGGCATTAACGAAATGGTCCAATATGCTGAAGACCTAAATGGGTTGTTGAATCAAGCCCAAGTAGGGATTGGCCCAATTCAGAATAAAAGCCCAAGATATGCTAATTACTTATCCACCTTCTTCCTCCACGTAACAAATCAATTCCTTAATTCGTCAATTCTACTCCACTGGAAATTATACCCTCCAAATCCCCAAATTTTTACAAACAACAAACTGATGTGGATCTCCAATTAAATTGAAGAAACCTATATTCAGCAACGAAGTAAGCAAAAGGACTTACAGGTTTTAGTCATTACTAAAGAAATTAATGGCCAGTATTTGGAAGTCGATGAAGGTGCCAACGACAATATAGGGCGCAATGGGATGGTAAATTGGTTCGAGCTTTTCCCAAATACTATAGCAAGTTGGATTGCACCGGGGACCACGAAAGGATGAGGCGGATTAATGCAGCAGGAGGTTGTGGTGATAATCAAGTATGGGGCTAAACACAAATTTAATTCGAATAGCTAGATTCACAACTTCGAAATTTATGCACGGACGCGATTGGTTAAGGAGTTTTAACGGATATTGGTGATATTGGGTCTATTAAAGGAGTCCACCAAATTCCTTGGACCAAAAATTGTGATTTTAACATCACCTGGGTTATTCACAAGGGAATTTGTGTGGTTGTATGATAAATTAACCTTACAATCACAACCTCCACCTTGAGGACAAGGTAGATTTCAGGAGGCGACTAATGACAAACACCCATTAAGATGGATGAGGCTACAGGGGATCAAACTAAGTCTTTCATTCCATTCATAACAGTTATAAGTGACATTAAAATTTAATAAAAAGTCATTGTTAATATTAACCTTCGGTTGTCCGAGATGTCATTCGTATCACTTTACTTTCTACATGACGCCTCTACGGTGCTTATTACTTTTTATATTTTAAAAAAAATGGTTATAAGAATTAGAAGGAAGAAAGTTGGCCTATCTATTTAAATGAGAATACAGCCAACTGAACTTGAAGAATGTTACAACTTTTCACAAATTGCAGCTTACGAAGAATATTTGACTACCAACCATTTTTGAAAAGTTGAAGGTGTTCAACATTCAGTACGGGTACCACTAGACATCTCTACATTCTTTGAAAAGAATGATATCCAATCTTAAAAGATAGTGAACTCGGAAACATGCTCTAAATCTCAAATTTTCATCATATATTTAACAAGAAAGCAAGAGTGGGGAAGAAAACTATTTGAGCTATTCATCTCCAAACACCTACAGCTAGTCATGAAACTGTCTCAGGCTCACTTACCCGGGTCAACTATGTTATTCTGAGACAGTCAATTGGATGTGCAAGTCATAGGGATAGAATATAAGGTGAATAAGTAACCTACCTTTCCTGATTCTCCAGCCAGATCTGAAGAGTTTGACCCTTATATACCTTCTCTGTCTCGGAGCCAAAGGATGTTCAGATTCCTAATAATAGTCACATACAACATGTAAGCATATATAATACATAAGGTACAATCACAGGGGGACAATGCTGGAAAAGAAATATGATAAATGCAAAACATAAATTATCTTGAAGACTTAACCTATTCATTATTAAAAACTGTGCCAGTTACACAATAAAATTAAACAAAAACTTTATTCATTTGAACCCATCAAGCACTTCAACCGGTTATATACCAACAAGCACCACATATTATACTATTTCATAGGTACTTAAAATAAGCAGGTTTAGCAAATTAGAAACCAAAATTCTTCAATCTATAAAAGCAAGTTCCCTATATTGCTTACAGGACAAGTTTCATTTTACATAAAGACCTAAATCTCAAAAATTTACCAGCTACAATATTTAACTAAAAGGTAAAAATAATAATAAGGTACACATTAACAAGTCGCTAAAATAACTTTTGCCTACAAAGGATAATGTATGGTTAGATCATTGGTTTTTTAGTGTGCTGCTCCATGAGTAAGGAGCTGAAAACTCACTTGTGCTGTGGTACATAACACCTAATTCACATTGGATATCAAGCTTCAAGCTCTTTAATCTACAAAAGAAAATCCCAGACTTTCCATCTCTAGAAACTCCAAGCTTAACAGCTAAGTGAGTCAACTAGAACAGATATTAGTAACAGGGCCTAGAGTAACTAGAGAGAATAAACAATTAACTTCCAATAAACCCTGGAAATTTTAGTTCCTATGTAATTCAATAATGTCACAAGATAAATAACAGTGTGGCAAACACTCTCATGAAGCATGACTCTTATCTTAAAAGTAAGTTTTTTTCTTTTTCTGTCATTGTTCTATAAATCTCATAAACAACAATATATCTGTTTATTACAGATAAAAAAGACAACCCACTGTAAGTCATTGCAAAGACAGCAGGTTAGTAGTGACACCTTACTGAAGCAGTAGAAGGATCCATCTTTGCCTTGCCAGACCCTCCAAGCCAATACATACTCCCGTGGTGTCAAGAACGGGAACTTTTTAACGGTGCGACCAATTTCAGTTCCACTAGCTTGGTCCACCTGCAACTGCTCGTGCTCAACCACAGTCTTGTCCCATAGTTTCCTATAATCATTATCCATATAATACTTCATCAGCACCTCAATTGAGCAATTTTCAAATGTTGTGACACTCAAATACTTCAAAGGCCCGTCCTGCAAAAGAAGAAGAAGAAGAAAGAAGTATCCTCTTCACTTGAGCTGACAGTCAAAATATGCTAAAAATACTCAGATTGAGAATAGCACAAGAGAGCGTACTTTTTGTTTGCAACACTTGGCCTTATACGAAAAACGATTGTTACTCTTGTCAATGACATTTTCCCAGATGATATCTTCATGGAACTTCTCATCTAGGTCGTCTATCAAATTCTTCAAATCTAAATCAGATATAATTCCAGAAATCCTGCAAAAACAAATCAAATCTTATTAAAAATTCTTCTAATACATCTCTACAGCAGCATCAATACTATTACAAAATAATCATACCGATGTTGAGAAAGGGGACTGGAGATAGAATCGGCGACGCCATTAGTCACCGGATTCGAATGAGCAGGTTTTTGATTTCTGAAACATAAATGTACAAATCGGAATCTAAACCTAAGGAAATTGAGAGTGAAAATGAGGAGTAAAACGGCGAGAGTCCATGTCCAGAGTAAACTCCCTCTCTCCATTTTGTTGTCTTCCGTCCATTATTCTTCTCCCCATTTTTTTTTTTTTCGTTGGTCAAAGGCCAGTTTGAAAAATTGGCCGGGTCAACCGGCCAACAGCCACTAATTCCTCCTGTTACACCTAGGCCAGTCGATATTGAAGAGGCTTATCCGACCCGCAAGACGGGCAGACCCTGCTCCGACCCATGGGCTTTGTTTAGAATCTCTTAAAAGAGGATGTGGAAATCCCACCACACATCTACCTTTTAATAAAGGGAAAAAATCACATATAACCAACAAAAATAAAATAATTTATAATATACTACATGATGTTTTATATACTATAAATATTGGATATTTTCCTAAAATAAATCAAAATTACTGACTCCTATAATTTCTCTAATTATTTGAAGCTATAAGACATCAACAGGTAAGGAAAGGAAACTTCCCTTAATTTGATTGTCATTAATTTGTAATTTATCCTCAATTTCACATTTATACATCTTAAAACATGTTATTTTTCAAAGTTTAAGTAGTTTTCTCGATTACGTTGTCAAAATATGTTTGCTTCACTTTCTTTTATAAACAAAGATATGTAGCAAGAGTTGTTACATATTAAGAAATGATGTTTGGCATAAAATTTTATTTCTTATTTTAGTGTCATGAGATGTATCACTTGTGTAAAAGTAATCGATTACCCCTAGCTCACCTATTGTTGCAACCGTTTTTCCTCCTATTTTATAAAATTGTATGTGATAGAATGGATGAATAAATATATGTTTGGAATTGTGAGTACACCTATTTATCGTATGTCAAGTAATATCCTACGGGTCAAGTTATTCTAGCATCCACGATAAGTTTTTGATTTTGCAAAATATATTCATGTTTATAGGATTTGATTAGTTACTTAATTTCTAGCTTTACGGGTGTGATAATATGTTATCATATGAAATATATTATTTGTCTACAATAAACACGCCAAGATTCAAGATTAATTGCATGCCACTTTGTATCTTGAAATATACTTCACTTCTGTTCTACACAATAGCAAATGATTTTTTACCAGGTATATTATCTCATGAACTTCCTACCATAAATAGAAATTATTTCATCAAGTTTTCTTGTTACGTAGTATTTGTGAATAATAATATTTTAGGCTTCTTGTTAGTGGTTTCTATGATATGTTACATACCATGTCACATGTTATATTTGTAATATTAAAAATAAGTGAAATATAATATATTTCATATTTTTTTAAACTTTGTTGTTTGGAACATTATATGGCGTTTTATGGCCGTTTATACCTTATATATAATGGTAATGTATTCTTATATGTTGCGTCAGCTGCTTAGCAAGAAAAAGAGAAACCAAATACTTGTCACTTGCTCACCATTTTGTTATCATTTTCATTTGAGAATTTTATTTTTATTTTTATTTTTATTTTTATTTAGTTGAATGAATACTATACATCTGCATTACATAAAATTAAATCGGCTTTGTCCAACCGAAAACATTTCACAAATTTACTTAGCCTACCAAACTTCATCAATTTAAAAAAAAAAAAAAAAAATATATATATATATATATAGTGGGACATAAAAGAGTCTATGGTATTAGAACTTACAGGCTTAAGAAATAATAAAAGATTAACTTATCAAGTAAAATATAGCATAGATATTTGTGGTTACTTTGAAGAAGACAACATAGTAGGAACATATAGTAAAGATTTAATTGAAATTTTAGAAATTTTAAGAATTGTTAAAAACTTACTTGTTGAAATAAGAGAAAATATAGTAAAAAGAATTTTAGTAGAAGAATATAAATATATTTATATTTTAGAAGAAATCTCTTATATATTAGAACTCTGGATACAAAAAGACAGTTTGATTATTTAGACTTAGATTTAAAAAATACCAATAAAAAAGTACAAACAGTAGACAATAATATAATTAAGTGTAATTTAGAAAATAAGCATAAATTACATAGTTTATTTTCAGAAGATCCAATTCAGAATTGTTTAATAGACTTAATCATAAATTTATCAAAAAATTTAGAATTAGAAAATAAAAAGAAAATTAATTATTTAGAAATTATAAAAGAAAATATTACTGTTAGAGATCAAGAAATTAGAAATATAAAAGAATCTTTAGATTATTTAAAAATCAAAATTCAAGTATTTTAGAAAAACTTGTTAAATTAGAAAAAATACCATCTAAAATAGATTTAACAGAAGTAAAAAGAATTTTAGATTCTAATAAATCTAAAGAAATAGAAATAACATCTACATCAAGTGTAGAAAAAGATTTAAAAGTTTTAACAAATACATTAGAAAATTTAAGTTTTAGAGAAACAGGAAAAGAAAAAGTAACTAGAAGATTACCTAAAGAGTATAAATTTCCAAGATGAATACAAATCATTTCTTAGGAAGATCTAGAACGATAAATGAAGAAGCATCTACATCTAGAAATAGTACTTCAAGTATAAGTAGAAATATAATAGAAAGAGTTTTAAATAGACCAGTACAATATAATCAAAATATAGAAGAAATTATAGATCCTCAACAAGATTATTTAAGATTCCAAACTAATGGATTAAGAATTCTTAACCCAGAAATATTATATAATAGAGGAATTTTTGAGACAAGACACAATTTTTCAGACATAGTAGAGAAGTATCTATTCAGTGTATAGAAAATCAAGTAAGAAAATTAAATTTAATATCAGAAGATTCTAAGAGAGAATTAAAAAAGAAAAATTTTAGATTCATGCACTTAGGATTAATAGTTATAGGAATAAAAGGATTAATGAGGAAAAATTTAGGATGTAAGGCTTTAGTTATCATATATGATGAAAGAATTAATAATATAGATAAAAGTATGATTGCTAGTATAGAAGTTGATATGAATAACAATAATGGAATAATTTATTGTAATCCAGATTTTTTATTAACTATCAAAGATTTTTCAGATAAAATTAAAATAGGAATTCAAACAAAATGATATGAAGAAGTAGAAAGCGGAGATAATTTATTAATTAGTATATGATTTTTAGGAAGATGTTCAAATAATTCTCAAACAAAATATAAAATTTATATAGATAAAGTGGTAAACTTAATGAGTAGTAAAGGAATTAATATGGTTAAACCTAAAGAATATTCATCAGAACAATTGGCAGGATTAGAATGGGATATGGATAAATTTTTAAAAATTAAGAAATAATTATAGCACCACAGGAAGCATTAACCTATAAACATATTCATGAAAGAACTAGTTTAAGATTTTTAGATTATAATCAGGTACAAAGATAGAATGATTTTGAAGAAGAACAAAATGAACCATTCCAAAATCAAGTTCATATAGAATTAATGGATGAAGAATTAGATAGAATAATTTATCCAAAAGAATTAGGAATGAATTTAGATAAGAAAGAATTATTAGAACTTGAAGATCAAATGTATCTTAATAAGATAATAACAGAATCTGAATATTTATATTATGATCAAAAACAGAATATAAGAATAGGAATTATTAAAAAAGACAATGATTCAGAAAATTCAGATTTAAGTTATACAAAAGAACTTATGGAAGATTCTAATACATATAGAACTTTTAGTAATACTCATTTTGATAAAACAATCAAACATGAGGCAATGGTTTATGGTGGAGGATTTCCCCCAAGAGAAGCTTATCATTTATATAATAATACAGAAGGAAAATATATAGCAAGAGGAAGTGAAAGATCCTTAGAAAAGAAAATAGAATTCCAATCAGATCATAAAGTACAAATTCTAAATATTACAGCACATGATCCACAGATATGGAATAATGTAATAGATGTATGGAAAAATACTATAATAGGACATTATATTAGAAATTTTCAAGAAATGGAAACCTTAGACATGTATAGATACTTAGAAACATTTTTAGGAGAAAGTGTAAAAACTATGTAGGAAGCATTTAAATTAGAAAAGAAAAAAGAATTTGAACAATTAATTAATATGAGAAGCAATCCATATAATTTTGTCAATAAAATACAAATATTAATAACAGGAGCAGACCCAAATTCAGGATATATGAGTATACAAAGAAAAGTTATGAGAGATTTAGAATAACTTAGTCTTTATAAATGGACTAAAGGAAGATATGTTAAAAAAAAATTTAAATGATTATCATTATTTAATTTCAATATCAGGAAATACATTTAATCAAGAAATTGGTAATAAATTGTTTCATAAATTACTAGGACCATTAGGATTAGAAATTACAGATAAATGGAATAATTTAGCATCAGTAAAAGAAGAACCAGAAAAATAATGGAGTATAGGACAAAGAATACAACATGTAATAAGATGTCTAGAAGATAAATATGTAGAATTACAAATTCAAAAACAACTTAAAAAGACAGATTATAGATTCTGTAAAGATATTTTTACCCCACAAACTTAAGGAGCCTCTAGTTCAAGAAAAAATAAATATAGTAATAAAGAAAAAAAATAATAAAAGACCTTTTAAAAAAAGATACTTTCTTAGAAAATTCAATAAAAGAAAACCATATTTAGATGAAAAAAGACATGTTTGGAAATTTAAATTAGAAAGAACTTATAAAAATAGACTTAAATGTTATATTTGTAATAGTTATGAACATTTATCTAAGACCTGTCCAAAAAGAATAAATAATTATGATAAGAAAAGTACACTAATAGAATGTACTAATGAAAATTTAATACAATTAGATGAATATATTTCAGATAAAGAATCTATTTATAGTATTATATCAATAAAAGATAAGAATTTAGAAGAAAATAGAGAATCTGATTATGAAATAATAGATGAATTCTCTAACATAAGATTACAAGAAGAATCAAAAGAAGAACTAAATTTAATGAATAACATAATTATAGAATGTTTACATAATTGGCAAAAATATAAAGGAGCAGATAATATAGCTTGTTATTTATGCAATTGGTATCCAGTAAGAAAGCTTAGAGCTAAATGTTTAGAATGTTATAAAAAAGCATGTATAAAATGTTCAGAAGAAAAGAACCTTATTGAAAAAGAA